GTTGTGACATTGATAGATATACCTTAATGCAGCACACTCCTGTCACCCAGCTGGAAAGTTAAGACTCTACTACTTTTCCCTGAGAAGAGCTGTTGTTCATGCTAATATTTGCTTCATTTGTTCTTTCATGGGTAATTGCACGGAATAACAAAAAGCTCCTACTCAACTTACAGCTTGGCAGAAACAGTAGCTTATGTTTTCTAGAGACAAAATTAGAAGCAGGCTCCCTGGACCCATCTTCAAGACAAAATAAAATAAAATGTCTAGGGAACCACTGTGCCTCCCAGTAAACATGGTCCATGAAGTCTTGACCTGTTTAGGTCAAGATGTCCTAGAATAAGAGGATAGGGAGAAGGTAAAGGGTGAAGGGAAAATATGTATTTGAATAGTATGTTATCATAGAGATGAAGAGGCAAGCTGTTTTTCTTCCTTACTTTGTCTTTTATACATGGGAATAAAAATTTATGTAGGATCCTAATCTTCCTTCTGCAATTATCAAAATATAAAAACTGAGTATACAGTTGTCAAGGGGAGGGGTTATAGCTTAAACTGGATTTTATTTATGGTATAGAATATCACCATCTTTTCTGTGGAGCTTAAGTCTTAGCAAAACTAAACCACTGAGAAAGTATCTTTATTTTTTCCATTTTTCATAGAAAAATGGATACTTATTCTACCCTTCTCTATAAAATATCATTCAGTTGGCAAGTATTTAATAAACAACTGTGCATAAGTACTAAAGGGAAAACAAAATAATAAGACATTGTCTGTCCTTTTGCTCTAGTACTTGAAATTGAATGGCAGAGATATTTATCCAAATAATTAAATCAGAGTTAAGAGAGAAGTACAAAATGTTGTGGGAACACAGAGAATGGAGAGTATTTTTAAGTTGGAGAATTCATGGAAGGTTTCATGGAGGAAGTAGCATTTGGACTGTTGTAGGATTTTCCACTACTGTTGGAAAGACTCATGGGATTGTGATGTGTAGAAATGAGGGATGGGAAGAAAATAGAGCAGCCTCAGCACAAACAAAGATGAACAGACTAGAAAATGTAGAATATATTTAACCTGTTCAGAAGAGGATATGCCTAAGCACAGACTATGCCAAGAATGGGAATGAGGATTGGATCAATAGTGGAAAAGATCACTAGTGGGAAAAGCGAGTAAGGGCTGTGCCAGGGAGAGACTCGAATGCCATGCCAGGGTAGTTTAATTTGCTGTGTAGCTCAGAGCTTCTCCTGCTTTCCCACCAGTGTGCTCCCAATACAAGATTATGGCAAAAACATAGCATTCTTGGGGCCAGGGATGAATAGGTGGAGCACAGAGAATGTTTAGGACAATGAAGCTCTTCTGTATGATACTGTAGTGGTGGGTACATGGCATTATGCTTTTATCAAATCCCATAGAATGTACAACACAAAAAGTAAACCCTAATGTAAACTATGGACTTTAGTTAATAATTATGTATTAATACTGGTTCATCAATTTGTAGCAAGCGTGCCACACTAATGCAAGTGTTAATAATAGGGGACATCCAAGTTAATAATAGAGGAAATTGTGTGTTTTTAAGGTGTGGGAGAAAGGGGAAAGGGTATATGGGAGCTCTGTACTTACTGCTCAATTTTTATGTAAACCTAAAACCACTTAAAAAATAAAGTATTATTTTTTAAAAATCATATCCTTTGGGCCCTTAAATATACTACAAGTATAATTTTAGGAGTTTCATATTATATCTTTAAAATCACATGAATTCGATTCATTTACACATAAATGGCTATTTTAAAATTAAAATTTCCCCCAAAACATCAATGAAATTGATGGCCTGTAAGGATATGATTTTTGTATTAAGAAGCATGGCTTTGTCCTGGCTGGTGTAGCTCAGTGGATTGAGCGCAGGCCTGCGAACCAAAAGATCACAGTTTGATTCCCAGTCAGGGCACATGCCTGGGTTGCAGGCCAGTGCATGAGAGGCAACCACACATTGATATTTCTCTTCCTCTTTCCTTTCCTTCCCCTCTAAAGATAAATAAATAAAATCTTAAAAAAAAGAAACATGGCTTTAGTTGACAGAGTCATTGAAGTCATGTTAAAAGTGAAGCAGAACAAAATTAAACCAGTAAAATGATGAGCAATCAATTTTTCTTGCAACACAGATATTTTTTGCATCCTTATTTTAATTTCCCAGTCCTCATACAGAGGCATATACACTACCTTTAAGTCACTTAGTGAAACTTTATTTTGTTTACAATAAGCACAGTGACACATAGTTGGTAACCAACTTTTATGGATATTACAGTTGAAACAAGAGAGGTATATTTTGACATGAAAGTAATTTATACCTAGAAAAATGTGAAATAAACCGGCTGACAAGATGGGCAAAGTAAATGTAGTGATCTGGGTTGCACAGGTTTAGATGTATTTTGAGACTAAGAATTCAGTTCAGTGTGTGCCCCTGTCATTGAGAACACAAACTTTTTTCTGGCTGTCATTGAGACCCATGTGACCTTTAAGCTATCACCAATGCACATTCCTCTTTTTGGTGTGTAGTATTTACACTGTAACATAGATAACTTAAGGTTGTTTGGGTACTTACTTACGTAGATATTCAGACATGTGGACTCAAACAGTACCTAATGAATCCTCTTGGAACCACTGAAGCACATTTATAGGACTAGTCTCCTTATTTGTGTGTTCAAGGCACTTTGTTTTTCTTGTGAAGACCACAGCTGGAATCTTTACCCTCATGCAAAAAATAGAGAACAAGGGGACAGTAACCAGAGGGGAGAGGGAAGGGAATTTAAGGGGGAAAAAGGGGAGGGGTTTGGAGGAACAAATAGGAAGGACACAGGGATGAGAACTAAGTGGGGTGGAAATGGGAGGGAGGTGGGGAGCATGGGGTGGGGGAAGCTGGGATGGGAGAAATAGACAAAAAACTGTACTTGAAAAATAACTAAATAAAATAAAAAATAATAAAATAAAATAAATCAGCCTTCGAGAGTAAATTCCTTAGCTCTCTGCTTGCTGAGAAAATACAAGAGACCCATTCCCAGATACCCCTAGGAGAACAGCCCTTCCTCCATAAAACATTTTTATCAGTGAAAAAACACGGTTTCTGGATCAGTCTTGAGTTTGTCTCTACTTAGTGGCTGTTGGACCCTGGGCAAGTCTCTACTTCTCAAGTCCTGGCCTCCTTACCTCTAAAGTGGTGTTAATATTTTGAGTTTCATGGAATAAAAGAGTGTGTCTGCAATGTGGGAGGTAGTCAATAAATACTAGTTTTCTTTCTCCCTTCCCTGCATCACACTAAAATTTCATCAATTCATTTAGCATTTAATAAATAAATGTTTAATGAACACATCAGTCAAGCCCTTTGCTGGGATATTAGAATATTCATTACAAAAAAGACAGATAAACATATGTTTTCAGGTGCCCTAGAATTTATGAGCAATTCACTTTTTGCCTTCAATTTCCATAATCTCAAATTCCCATGCCTCTCTACTGACATTTTTGACCAAAGAGGTGACATTTAATATACTGTGACTGTGCTTTTGGCACCACTTTAATAGTCAGCTGCTTTCAGGTAAACCAAGTCAGAAAGGTTCTTATTGCATAAAAGTCTAAAGTCTACCCACTTCAGTCACACACAGGTCCACATTAAATACTTAGAACCAAAATCTCTCAGGGTTTTATTTCACTTACTGTGACCACAAATCACATTTAGAAAAATTCATGTGGCATGTACAATCTTAAGCAGGAAATTCATAAAGCAATTATTCTGTGGCCTTAGAATCTGTACCAGTGTTCTTACCTTTGTTTTTTTATGTTTTTTTGTTTCCATTTCTGTTTTGTCTTGGGGTGGTTTAAAATTAATTCTGGGCTAGATTCTCATTTTAACATTTCCTCATTGATAATCAAATGTTTTCACATACTCTAACCTCTCTGTTCTCAATGTGGGGAATACCTTCTCCTTTTTAAGGAAAGCTGTATGCAAAGAAAACATATTTGGGTATTTTCATAGCACAGAAGAAATATTTTCTTTAAGAAAAACATTTTATTTATTTATTTTTGGAGAAAGGAGAAGGGAGGGAGAAAGAGAGGGAGAGAAACATCAATGTGTGATTAGTTGCTTCACATGCCCCCAGCTGGGGACCTGGCCCACATCTAGGCATGTACCCTGACTGGGAATCTAATCAGTGACCTTAAGAAAAAAAATGGTTTTACAGTACGGTTAAATAATAAATCCTTATATAAATTTAATATATCAACTTTTTACCCTGGCCAGCATGGCTCAGTTGGTTGGAGCATTATCCCATGGACCAGAAGGTCGTGGGTTTGATTCCTGGTCAGGGCACATACTCAGGTTTTGCGTTCCATCCCCATTGAGGTGTGTATAAGAAGGTACAAGAAGGCAAACGATTGATGTTTCTCTCTTACACTGATGTTTCTCCCTCTCTCTCTCTCTCTCACTCCCCTGCTCCCTCTCTCTCTAAAAGGAATGGGGGAAAATGTCCCTAGGTGAGGATAAAATATGTGTGTGTGCATCTGCACACACACGTGTATATGATGAGCAGTCATATATACATGTATGTGTATATGTATATATACACATCCCAACTTTTCTGTCATACGAAAACATTATTAATATGAACGGAGAAACAAATTTTTTATCTTAAAGAGAAAAGTTTTTAGGATATCTAATATGGAGAAAGTAGAATTGTCCCATAACTCCATACTCTTAAAAGTCATTAACAAACTTGACTGATAATCTTCTATAAAAGATAATAAGAACTGCCTCAACATTACTTTTACAAGCAGTCTTCCTTCTTTTAGTAAAACCATCTGGGCAGCACTGAAAAGATGGTTATGTTCTCTTCTCTCATTGTGATAACCTAGATGAAATCCCTTTACCAAACATTGTTTCAGTTCCCTTTCTGCATATCTGTAGAGGATTGCTCTATCCTCTAGCACCAACTTCATAGCTGTTCGTTTTTACATTTCAGAAATTACCATGGTTGACACAGAGATGCCATTTTGGCCCACCAACTTTGGAATCAGCTCCGTGGATCTTTCTGTAATGGATGACCACTCCCATGCCTTTGACATCAAGCCCTTCACCACCGTTGATTTCTCCAGCATTTCTGCTCCACACTATGAAGACATTCCTTTTGCAAGAGCTGACCCAATGGTTGCTGATTATAAGTATGACCTGAAGCTCCAAGAGTACCAAAGTAAGTTGTTTATTTTCATTTTTAAGACTACTAAGCCAGCATTAGACTAATCTCAATGACACTGGAGTAAGTGCTCCAGACACTAAAACTATATAGAGAAGACACTTACCATTCACTTAGTCATCTATTTATCAATGAAATATTAAGTATTTATGATATGCCAGAAAGGAAAACAATGTATAAATACCCCAGATTATCCTCTCCTTTTTTCCCTTCTTCCTGTCTCTCTCCTTTTTTTCTTTTCTTACTTCTTCTGAGGAGCATTGTTCAGCATGATTATATTGCCAGGTGTAGCTCAGGCTGAGTAAGAGTCCATCACTCAAACTTAAAACTCTTTTGGCCACTTGTAAGTTATTAAGTAACAGTTTGCTACCTTATCAACAATAAACTGCTAAATTATAATCCAGTTTTTCTAATTCTGCCATTTAAGAAGCTTACTAAAAACTGTTTAAGCACAAATTTAAATTTTGACAGTTTATTGATTAATTTTCATGTAATTAACTCACTTCACACTGAAACATCAGACCAAGAAAAACTAAACTGCACTTTTCAAGATAAAATAAATTTCTATGATGCTATTTCCTTGATTTTTATCTCTTTGTGTACTGATATGCTGGTTTTCCAAAGCCACCAGCTATGTAATTGGTAACTATTAGTTGACAATAAGAACTTCCTGTATTTCTAGTTTTCTTTAGATAAATACTAAACTTGGTTATATTTATGTGTGTGGTTTTCAGTTAAAGCCTAATACGGAAATATAATAGCTCTGACCCTAACCAATGGAAAGGTAGTGCTTAATTTCCATAGGTTGTTTTACTCTCCATCAAAGATCATTTTACAAACCACCTTTTCTGACTCAACACTGATGGTAACCTGGTCTCTTATTTTCATGTACCTTCAAGTTGGTCTTCCCGTTACCTTTTCATGGGAGTGTTCCTTCTGTGTTTCTTTTGCAAGAGTTTTAAAATACTTCTAAAACACAACATTTAAATTAAAATACACAATTTAGTATTGTGAAAATGCCAAATACAGCACATTATGTAATAAAATAACCTTAATTATGGTTACTATAAATAACCACTATACTAATAAATACTATATGTTGTGTGTTAGAGCTTTAGTATAACGGGGTATTGGAGGGTCATAGAACCACAGGATTAACTCGCTTACCTGTTTTATTTATACAGGTGAAGTTCAGAGGGGTTGTGACTTGTCTGTGATTACAAGGCCTGTGGTTTTTTTCCGTGTCTTTGCATGTTCCATAGTGCTACCACACTTAACTAATAAGTGTGGCATTAAAGCATTCTATAGTACTTCCCCTATTGTCTTTTTAGCATTGTTTTTCATGTAACAATGACCTGCTCACATTTTTCTGTACACAGGTGCAATCAAAGTGGAGCCTGCATCCCCACCTTATTATTCTGAAAAGACGCAGCTGTATAATAAGACTCATGAAGAGCCTACCAACTCCCTCATGGCAATTGAATGCCGTGTCTGTGGAGATAAAGCTTCTGGGTTTCACTATGGAGTACATGCTTGTGAAGGGTGCAAGGTAAAAAATAATTTTTCTCCTTCTTCAAAAATGTGCTGAAAATCTACCTATTTTTTCATTTCCTGTTGCAAGCTCATGGCAAGGAATAGAAATGAAATTGCCAAAAAAAAATTTTTTAAATCATTATTTAGATGATATAGTATTTGAAAACCAAAGAAAATTAATAAAAGCAGGGTTACTTTATCTCACTTTGTTCCCTCTAAATTGGACCTATGAGACACTGATCTAATTTAACCCTCGTATCTTGCAGTTTTATTATTTTTAAGTGACTTGATCTAGGTATCGAGGCAAGATACTGATGAGCTGGCCCAGAACCCAGAGTTCCTGATTCTTCCAGGAGTTTTTTCACTGTACTATGTAATATTTTACACATGTAAGATTTGACAGGTTTAATAGATAGATAGATAGACAGACAGACAGACAGAGAGTCTTCATTTGAGCCTTAGAACAGCCCTATAAATTTGAACTCATTTATGGCCACGAACAGATGTAGGAATGATGAATTAATGAGACTCATGGTCATCCATTAGTAAACGTCAGAGCTAGGACTAGAACCTGTCTCTATGACTCCTAAACCAGTACTCAATTTTCTTATTCTTATGGACAGGGAAAGAGATATAACTATTTTGGAAAGGAGATACTTTTTCTCCTCACCTTTTTTTTTCTTTCCAAAAAGAGGCATTTTGGAAAGTTCAAACATTTAGTAATATTTTGCCTGAGTATTAAGAAAATGTTAATCTACTCATATTTTAATATGTAGTCTTTTAAAATAATTAATTTCAATATACTAAGTGAATAAAATAGTAATAGAATAGTTTCTGTTATATGCTCCAGGGCTTAGAATAAATCATATTTACCTTATAAAATAAAGGTTTAGTTTTTATAATTTTTATGAATATAATTTATAAATTTTGTATATTTTACAAATATAAAAAATAATTATAAAATATGTATCTTATAAAATAAACACTGCTTATATTATATATCACATTTAGTCCTCAGTTGGGCTTTTTATTAAGAATAAAGGTATATAGCAGTTGGTAGGTAGGCATTAGAATATCTGGCTTCCTGACTAGATTGTGGGCCAAAAAAGGAAATTAATATTTATTGAATTTCTACCATGCAGATATTGTGCAAGATGCTTTTGTATATATCATTTTTAACCACATTCTGCCTAAGTTTTTACGTCTATAAAATGATGGTGTTGAGCTGTAGCTGGTGAGGCTTGGTTGCTTGGTACACCATCCCATAACCAAAAAATTGTGGGTTTGATTCCTGGTCAGGGCACAGGCCTAAGCTGTGGGTTCAGTCCCTGGTCTGGGCACATATGGGAGGTAATCAATGTTTCTCACTCTTCCTTCCTCTCTCCCTTCTTCTGTCTCTAAAAGCAATGAAAAAAAAAGTCCTCAGGTGAGGATAAAAAAATAAATAAATAGTTGAATTAGTTGAATAAGTTGAATTAGATGATCTCTAAAATCTTTGCAGTTCAAAGAGTTTATTTCTCTGAGGCAGCCTGATAAAGTGAAAAAGAGGCAAGCTAATAGTCACTCGGGCCACTTGCCCAAAGTCACTAGTCAATCACATAAACACTTTAGCCCTTAAGTCATCATATGTGTAAAACAACTTTGTTAGATTAGCTATCCAAGGTCTTACTCATCTCTAAGTTCTAAAATTCTAAAATTACTGCTTGAAAAATGCCCGGCAATGGATGCTTTCATTTAAAACATTTAAACCCATTGATTTTGTGATTAAAACCAAACTAAAATATCTGCGGTCTTACATGAAATAATTATGCATAGTTAGTTATTTAAGATCTCAATGAGTAATAAAAAATGTCATTTTACTGCATTAGATTTATACAGTTTTTAGTAAGTTGTTGATAAATACTCAGAAATACCTCAAGAACCCATTTAATTTTGGTCATCTTGGTAATTTATATTGATGAATAATTAAAAACAGTATGATTGGTTAAGTTTCCACAATAAATTATTGTTTTTATGGACCGGTACAGCACTTAGAAAACTAGAAAGTTTAAATAGTTTGACCATGTTTCTATTAGTCATACATTTGCGGAGAGTTAACATTACTGAGAATAGCTAAAATTTGACAGACAGAAATATTGTCAGTAGTTGGTTATAGTGATAAAGGCTACTTTCCGAAGGCACAAAAACTTTGAAGATAAAAGCAAGCAAAGAAGAAAGGTAGCAATAAAAAAGAAGAAAGGAAAGAAGAGGGAGGAGAAAATCCCTGTACCTTTAAGTTAGGAACAAAAACGGTTTTAAGGCAGAGACAGAGAGTAAACTCTTAATAAAACCTGAAAAATACAGAAGAGTTCTTAACCTACCACAGAAAAACAACAAAAAAATAGATGAAAATTTAGAGTATTGTATTCAGTAACTTACAAGTCATCCAAATATGAATTACAGGCTTCCTAAACTAAAATATAAAGGTTATGCTAACCTTGGGAGGGAAAATAGACATCTACTCACTTTAAAGATAAGAATAAGCAAAATGTTAGTGGAATAATATAATTTGTCTTCTACAAGTTAACAGTTCTCAAAATGTGGTCTGGAGACTTTTAGGGGTCCCTAAGACACTTTCAAAGCAACTATGAGATTGAAATTATTTTCATAATACTCTGTTTTTATTTACCATTTTCACTTTCATTGACTCAGGAGTATAAAGTGGAATGTTCTAGAAGCTACATGGCATGGAATGACAAGACAGCTCTGATGGCTAATAAAATATTTGCCTGTATGTTCTTACACATAAAAATTTCTCAATTTTAACTTCTAATTCTGGTAAATACCATAAAGATAGCCCACATAAACTAATGTTCTTTGCAGTCCTAAATAATTTTTAGGAAAGTAAGAGGTCCTGAGACCAAAAAGTTTGAAAACCACTGTTATAAGCCACTGAGGCTGAAGAAATAAAATGCTCATTCCTTGCCACTCTGGAACTAAACAAATCTGCTGCCACACAGTGCAGCTTCATTAGACTGGTGGCTGTCAGTAATCAAAATAGCTCCTTAGCTTGTCAACAGTACTCAGTGATAAGCCAAGAAAGTCAGTGTGTTTGACTCATCTGCATGTTTTTCTGGAAGGTGCTTTGGCCATTTAATGTTTGCCATTTTGTGGTATAATATAGGCTATACATACCAATGATTAAAATATAGTTGACCACAAACCTGCAGACTAATATATGGATTGAAAAGGATAGTTATAGTGCTTAAGATAGCTGTTAGTAGGTTTTCTTAAGCAATTTCACAATACCAATGGAACAGATTTACATTAGTGATCCTTGCCAAAATTCAAACAGGAATTAAAAAGTTGGATTTAGATTAGAGTAAAATAGTGACAGGTTCTTGGGTATATTAATATTGCAGACTTGGGTAAAATACAACCTTTAGCTACTGAAAGATATAAATACCTTAGAGCTTGCAAAGCTGACAATTTTTTTGGTTACAATTTGGACACTTACCAGTATTTTTTTCTCTATTAGGTTTCATCATATTTTTGCATCTTTAGTGAAAGATTACTTTAGAACCATAGATTTACCTAAAGATAGAAGTAAATATAATTCATCATATAATACAGTATAACCTATTTTTATATTTCTACATAAAACACTACTCCAGGAAGAGTTTTTTGTATATTTCTACCTGCCAAAGGTAGCTCATTGGTTCAGCTTCTGTGTGCCATACATTTTATAGGAAAGATGCACGCAGGCCAGCCAGCACAGGGCTTTAATCTCATTGTAAACTTAACACCATTCTTAGATCACATCACACACACACACACACATGGAGTTTTGTTAAAAGTCAAGCAATTAAGGAGAAATTGGAGACTTCATGATAATTATGACAGTAAGTTGTTGAAACTGCACATTGTTTTGTGGATCCTGAAATAATAAGAGTGTTTCTTTATGAGTAATATGAAAAAACTTTGTAGAAGCCTGCATCATTCTTCAAATGAATAAATATTTTACAGAAAGACACTTAGTAATGGCTTTATATCTTCCTTGCTAGATTTCTTTTTAAATTTAATCTTTATTGTATTTTATTACCATTTAGTTACCTTATAACCCCCGCCTCACCCCAGTAATCACCATACTGCTGTCCATGTCCATGAGTGCTTTTTCCTTTATGCTCAATCCCTCCACACCCTAACCACCACCACCACCCTGAACTAGCTGTCATCTACTCTCCATCTGTGAGTCTGTCTCTGTTGTGCTTGTTAGTTCAATTTGTTCATTAGATTCCACATACGAGTGAAATCATATGATATTTGTCTTTCTCTGACTGGCTTATTTCACTTAGTATAAGTTTCTCCAGGTCCATCCATGCTGTAGCAAAGGGTAAAATATTCTTTTTTACAGCCAAGCAGAATTCTGTTGTGTAACTGCCCCATAGTTGTTTTATCCACTCATCTACTGATGGACACTTGGGCTCCTTCCATATCTTGGCAATTATAAATAATGCTGCAATGAACATAAGGGTGCTTATGTTCTTTCAAATTAGTCTTTTGGGTTCCTTTAGAAATATCCCCAGAAGTGAGATCACTGGGTCAAAAAACAGATCCATTTTTAATTTTTTGAGGTATCTCCATACTGCTTGCCACAGTGGCTGCACCAATCTGCATTCCCACCAACAGTGCAAAAGGATTCCCCTTTCTCCACATCCCCACCAGCACTTGTTACTTCTTGATTTATTGTTTATAGCTGTTCTGACAGGTGTAGGTGATATCTTACTGTGGTTTTAATTTGCATTTCTCTGATGATTAGTAACGTTGAGTATCTTTTCTTATGTCTATTGGCCATCTATATGTCCTCTTTGGAGAAGTGTCTATTCAGGTCCTTTTCCCAATTTTTATTTGGATTATTTGGTTTTTTGGTGTTGAGTTTTGTAAGTACTTTATAAATTTTGGATATTAACCTCTTATCAGATATATTGATGAATACGTTCTCCCATTCTGTGAATTGTCTTTTTATTTTGTTGATGATTTCCTTTGCTGTGCAGCTAGATTTCTTAAAAACATCAAATGGCAAAAAACCATTGGTTATCATGAAGTTAGTGTTTAGGAAAATAATCAAAGTTCCAAGCAGTGTCCTGGAGTCTGTACATATTGTTCAGTTCAAGGTTTTATGTAGCTGTATAGTACATAAATGATATTAAGAAAGACTGTCCATCCTTTAACATTAAAAGATCCTGAATCATAACAAAAATAATGTAATATACTTTGAAAGACATCATGAGTCCAAACAAAAATTTGCATAAGGGTTAAATTTAACATAATTCTCTTATCAAAAACCTTCTTCTCCAGCCATGCCAAATAAATTGAGTACTCTGGGACCTGCCTCATTGTCAACTAGTCAAGGAACATTTTCAACCACTAAAATTAGTTTGAAAAAGTGAAAACCAGTGAGGGAATTTAAAACACATATGATCACAATGGTGAAAATCAAAATGAAGTATCCCACCAACATTTATCAGTGAGAACAGTTGTCTTTGCTGTTAGTTATTAGTGTTCTTTTAATGAGTGAAAAAAATCTTTAGTATTCAAAGGTCCTTAGAACCCTTCAGGAATTAAGGAGGCTTTGACTTCCAGCAGATCCTACATAGGACATATTTTTTGAGATATTTCTCGTCTCACAAAAGGTAGGGAAAACTCTCCAAACAACCAACAATTACAAAACAAACAAATCCTAGGTCTTGAGCTGTGAGCTGCAAGCACTTGGAAGGGTGGGGTTTCCCTCATAACAAATGCCCATAGGAGTACTCAGGTGCAGTATTGCTTCAAATGCAGGTGCCTGTAGCAGTTTTGGAGACATCAGTGAAAGGGAACTTTGAATTAAGCCCAGATTCTCAAGGGAATCTAAAATAGTCTTAAGTCAGTGGCACCCCTGCCTTCCAACAGAAGCATTTTCAAATTCTTTTTGGAGGAAAGAATTCCTAGTTTAGACTTTGTAGGATTCCCATAGTTTAAGGTCAGGAAATGAGTTCAAAATAAAACATCAGTAAGCACATAGAAAGCAATTGAATTGAATGACATTTATCAGAAATAAAACTGAATTCAGACCCCTCGGTCCCTACCAAGGGGATATTGGGAAAGCAGATATTGGGATTGGATTGGCAGATACAGATAGAACAGCTGTATATATTTTTTAAAGAGAGGGCAGAATCACAGCAATCAATAAGCAACAATAGACCATCAGGAATGAGCATGTCGATTTGGGAAATAAACCAAGTGAAACTTCTAAAAGTAAAAAATATGTAATTATTGAAATTAAAAAGTCAATGGTAGAGTTAGATAGCATACTGCACACAGCAAAAAAAATGTTACTGAACTGGAAAATAAATGCAAAGAAACTGCTGAGAATGAGACTCACAGTGTCTCAAAGAATATGTCCTATCCATAATCTGCTAGAATTTGAAGCCTCTTTTAGTTCTTGAAGGATTAATAAATTTTTTTAATATTAAAAAATTATGTCTTCTTCACTAATGAATAGAAGAGTTATGTACAGAACTGTTCTCATGGATGAATTTTTGCCACTGTAATTATGTATTTCTGTGATCTTAATTGATGGCTGTTTTGATGTTGACTTTTGCGATCAGTATTAGAGAGTACTTAATTACAAGAAGATAGAAAATATAAAAGAGAAGGATAGAATAAGAAAGTCTAACACTTATCTAGTTAGAGTGTCTAAACTTATGAATATGTACAACCATAATGTGGAAAACAGCATGCCCAAGAAGATGAATAAAAAGAAATTCATGTTTAAACACTGCAGTAAAAATTGCAGAATACTAAAGACAAAGAGAGTATGTAAAAGCAACCAAGAGAAAAGACAAAAACACCTTCAAAGTTGATTGACAACAGACCTCTCAGCAGCAGTGGAAGCACAAAGATAATAGAATTCAAAGTGAAATAGAAAATAACTGAGTACACTATATCTTTCGTTTTTTTAGTGCCCTATATCTTTCAACACTGAGCGTGAAATGAAAATGTTTATAGGTTAAAAAGCAAAAAACAAATAATAAATTTCAAGGATAGTAAGCCATAGGCAGGAGAAGACATTTGCAACACTTACATAAAACAGTGGGCTCATATCTAGAGTATAAGATTACCTACAATTCAATTTTAAGAAAAAAGACAGTCCACTGGAAAACTGGGAAATGAAAAATCAGAGAAACACAAATTAAGGTTCTACTTCGATTCTATTTTACACATACTAGCTTGTCAAAAATTAAGGTGCCTATGATACCAAGTGTTGGAGAGAATGTAACTTCCATAAGCTAGTAGTGGGAGTGAAAATTGGTATAAACACTTAGGAAAACAATTTGGCATTGTCTTGTAAACTTAACATTCAAATATTGTATAATCCAGAAACTGTACTTCTAGGGGAACTTTTATATATGTGCATTATAAAACAAAAAACATTTATAAAAGCACTATTTATAATAAAAAAAATTGGTAAGAATTCAAACATACATCAACATGAGAGAACAAATTAATAAATTGTGTCATAGTTATATAATAGAATATTATACAGTTGTGAAAATGAATAAATCATAGCTTCTCACAAGAAAGTGGATAAATTTTAGAAACCTAATACTAAATTTTTTAAATGAAAATCCCTTAAAAAGACATGAAGTATGGTAGCATTTAATAAAGCCCCCCCAAAATCATAACAACGTATTATTTAGTTTTACATATTGTGTGATAAAACTATATTTTCTTAAAAGTCAAGGAAATGATAAACACAAAATTCAGAATGATAACCATCAGGGTCACACAAGTGCAGGAGTTGAATAAGAGAAGAATACATAAGTATTCTGGTCATGATTTTAAATCTTGAGTTGGATAACAGGCTCATGTGTGATAATTATCTTGTTATAATTATATGTATTTTCTACATGTTTGTAATTAATATTAATAAAATAATATTGAAAATAAAAGTATGCCAATGGCCTTGTAAGACAGCAGTTACAGTTTAGGATCACAGAATATCAGAAATGGAACTGCCTCCTTACTTTACACATAGAACAGGTGAGACCCAGTAGAGAAGTTAAGTGACATATGTGTTTATTCAGCAGATTTTAATGGAGAACTATCGTCGGTGTCTGGGTTACATCCAGGGGTATATGATACCATCCCTGGCCCCATAGAGCTCACAGTTTTAGTTGTGCATTGGGAGAGGGGCAAGAAAATAAACACAAATATAGTAAGTAAATTATATTGTATGCTAGAAAGTCCTAAATCTATTGAGGGAAAAAAGAAAAACAAGGGCAAATAACGATCAATATTTCCCGAGGAAAACTGGGGGCAAGGACAGGCCACAGTGTTAAATAAGGTAGATAAGCTTCACTGAGAAGTTGAGGTTAGCAAAAACTTGAAGGCAGTGAAGGAAACAGGCAAGTGTATATTTAGAGAAAGAGCTTTCCACATGAGACAAAGAAATCAAGGGTGACTTCAAGGATTTTGGCTTGAGCACGTGGGAGGATGGAGTTGCATAAATTGAAATGGAAAAGCTGAGGTGAAGTAAGTTTGGGGTAAGTTCAGGATTTTAGTGTAGAATATGCTGGGTTCAAGATGGCTATTAGATTTCCAAGTGAGGATATCAAGTAAGCAGTGGAACATACTTGTCTAGGGTTCAAGATGGAAATGTGGAGAAAGTCAAATGACATCAGTGGCAGAATCAACACTAATTCAGTCCTTTTTGTACCAAACAGAATGAGATGAATTTGGAAGAATGGAGAACTGAGTTTCATTAAAATGAACACAATAGAAATGAACAGGAGTACTCTGAAGAAAAAAGTGGAGTTAGAAAACATTTCTGACTTTTTCCAGAATTTTTTCCAAGTCTTTCCAAAAAAATATAAATATAGCAGTATTCAGTAAGCATCAAATTGATGTATTTGCTATTTTGAGATAACAGTTGATTTTCTTAGGACCTATTTATTACTTATCATATTTTCTTTTTTAAATTTTTATTTATTTTTAAAGATTTTATTTTCAAAGAGATGGGAAAGGAGGGAAAAAGAGAGGGAGAGAAACATCAATGAGCAAAAGAAACATGGATTGGTTGCCTCTTGCATGCCACCAACTGGGGACCTGGCCTGCAACCCAGGCATGTGCCCTGATCGGGAATTAAACTGGTGACCCTTCAGTTCATAGGCCAGTGGTCAGTCCACTGAGTTACACCAGACAGGGCTCGTGCTATTTTCTATTATTTCTTTTTGTTTGTAGGCTACAACAGTTATGGAACACATGCACTTTCAGCTGCACAAATAAATGAAACCAATTTTGCAGGATATTATGCAACAGAGAATTCCAAAAAATTATCCACATGTGGATTTTTATTGGTCCTGACCATGTATTACGATGAAATGATTATAACTTTGCCAAACTGCTTAGTGCAATTATAAGGGTTTGGCACGCTCTTGGAATAGTTTGCAGAGATACTGAACTGATTAATTGATGTTTTATTTGTACTTTTTAGAGCATGCTGAAATCCAAATGTAAAGCCAAAATACATTGAATGACATTAGTTGGATGTAGTCACTTTCTAAGAGCTAAAACAGGACACTGGAAATCCTTATGCAGTTCCAGACAGGTTAAGTGACTTGCCTAAAGTCACCAGTGCCAGGACTGTGTGAACCACCTGCCTCTTCTGGTACCCAGACCAGTGTGCCTTTCACCATACATTGCTGCTTCAGTGCATCACAAAGACTTATAATTTGCTTTTTTCTTTATTATCTCTTTGCAGGGTTTCTTCCGGAGAACAATCAGATTGAAGCTTATTTATGATAGGTGTGATCTTAACTGTCGGATCCACAAAAAAAGTAGAAATAAATGTCAGTACTGTCGGTTTCAGAAATGCCTTGCTGTGGGGATGTCTCATAATGGTAAGTGAATGCTTAGCTCCACGTAGTGTATTATTTCATTATGGCTGCCAGATCAGTAAACGTAAAGGCCATTGATGAAAACATGCAGTTATTCCACAGAATGCCAGATTTCAGAATATTGCATACTGACAAAGCATTTCTCATTTAGGTCAGAGTTTTTAAGCTGTTAATGAGGAATCTTCTCTGTGGTTGGGCATGTGCCATGATCAGAATAAAGACTTGAAAATCTGGGAGGTGATGGAAATAACTATAATACTTTAAAACAAATATATTTGTGATTATATTTTATGTTGCATTAATAGCATAATAAACAGATTATATCAATAGTTTCTTTCTAATTTAAATATAATAATTTTGCAGATATCTGGATATGGAACTCTAGGTGGCTTATCAGAATTTAGATTTATATATTTTTTCTATTTATTATGCAAAGATGATTGTAGCTATAGCAGTAGTCTTGACTTTGAGCAGCATACAAACTTGTGAATAAAGAAATATTTTAAAGTTTCACAAAACTTCAGTGTTTGCAGAAAGATAAGAGAATAAAACTTTCTACTTTTAAAACCCATATCTAAAATCAAGCTTATGGAGTGTTAACCTAATGAGAATAATGTAGAAGACCTGAGAAGACCCATGTCTTCATGAACTGTAGAGCTAACTCAACAAAGTCCTGAAAGATAGGCCTGTTTGAAGAAGTAGTTCTTGATTTCTGTTTAGCTCTGACTAATTAACTAGATTATAAAACAAATTTTGATGTAATGATATTATATTTTTCAAGTATTAGTCAGTTCTTTAAAAACTCATTATGGGCTCAAGAAACGTAAAATGCGAACATGATCAAATTGAATCCAAAGTCTCATTTCATTGGATGTCCTGGTTTTTCTTTCTTTTGCCTTCATCTCTCTCAAAACTGATCTGGTACCAGGATAATCTCACTCTCCCTCTTTTTTTTTTTTACTGTGTTTTGTTTACACTCTTACAGCTGTCCCTATTTTCACACCCTTCGCCTTCACCTACCTCCCCCTCTTCCCTCTGGCTTTCACCACATTGTTGTCTGGGTCTGTGGGTCATGTATATATGTTCTTTGGCTAATCCCTTCCTTTCTTTATCCAGTACCCCTCTCCTTTCCCTTCTGACAGCTGTCAGTCTGTTCCATCTATCCATGGAATCTTTAAATCAGTCTTCATCTATAAGGACTCCAAAGCATCTGTGAAAATTAAAGTTTTGCTCATTATGCTGATGTTTTGTTTTCGCAGTAGACATCAAGATATTTGGGAATCACTAATTAGTTGATACTCTACTCTTTAAAAATAGTTTTAAAATTATATTCTTATCATTAAATGGGTCATTTCCTCTAAAGACAAGAATGCATTATGAGTAGATCTATTAGCTGTAGTAGACAGGAAGGAAATATGGTCTAACTTTCCTCAACAGTTAATGCATCTGCTGTGTAGCAGTATATAACTGTAATCATTGATTGCAAAATAATTTGCTAGTTTAATGTCATCCATTTTCTTTTTATTTCAGACCTCATAAACATAGGGCATGTTTTCAAGCCAAGGGTTGTATATTAGGTGATGAAATCAAATTGCAATAAACTTCATTTATCTTTATGAAGAAATCTTTATTTGAGGTCATTATCTATAAGACTGCCTTGAAAAACATGCCAGTTCTGCTTTTAATGCTATTTATTTTTTGTCCTTAAAAATTGTCACTTTTTACATTGATGAAATATATTTTACATTTATGTTGCTTGTACATATTCATGTAAAATATATCTCCTATTTCTTATTGTTTATAGGCAAATAATATTTAAAGCCCAACCTATGGTATTGAGGATATAATTTTCTTTTCTCAGAAAAGTCAAAGAAAGCTATTATGAACTGAGTAAGGTCATCTTTGGACATCTTGTGACTATTTAAAATAAGGAATTAAACATCATGGCATCAAAGGCTTATACAGTTTAACACTTACAGGAGTGCAAACATGACTAAGAGAATCCCTTCCCAGAGGTGTTTATGGTAATGTGTTTGCTGCAGAGAGAAGAAAACATCCATTTAACCTACACATAAGAAAGGGAACTCAAATAAATTTTTTTTAAAAAGAAAGGGAACTCAACAACTAGATTTTGATTAGTTTTGCCTGTTTTCCTGATGAAGGAACCATTTTTAAATACAAAGTTTTCTAGGAGATCATGGTAACTATTTAAAATTAATTGCTTTGGCCAGTGTGAGGCCAACTATAATGAGATTTCCATCAATACACAGTACCTCTTTGTTAATGTTTTGTGTGAGTGGTCCTCAATGTAATAACCCACCAACTTAATAAAGAGGCATCTAGCATTATACCAAAATCAGCACCTCACTGTTTTCATTATGCACAAGAAGAAATGAACATTCCCCCGAAGTAAATTTGCTTCTTTCTGTGTTACTTTTATATTTGTTCCTTGTCTCTGTGTAGTCCATTCTCTGCATTTAGCTTCTATGTTAACTACACACTCCCAGCTTTGAAGGACACTTCTAAAGAAACCTTCAAGAAACCCTAAGGCGCTGGCAAATGTTGTTGGAAAATCACTGAAGTCAGCAATTGCTAAGTTCTTTTAGCTTTGAAAAATCTATGATGCTATGTAAGTCAAACAAACTACCTCACGTAAATTTTCAACTAATTATTTCATATCTTACAGACAATGTCACAGTCTTCCCAAATATTTAGGCAACTGATACCTGTCAGTCACCTGAATTTAAAAGTCTCCACCTATATGATTTGGTACCATAAAAATGTAATTCATATGCTTGAATCATGTCTTCTGTATGTTCTGATCAATTGCTCACTAACATAGGGCAATACATTTGACGATTGCATAATGATGCATTTTGATTGTGACGTGTAGCCTAAACATCGTAGAAAGACATGATTTCAGCATTTTTCCAATTAGAAACCTAACTGTTTCTCAAATACCCATTTTCAGCATTGGCTAGAAAAAGCACCCAATTGTTGGATTGATGTACTTTGGAAGAAATTTTTTGTTTTTCAGTAATTATCAAGATAAACACATATTGCCATGATTTTGGTCATTTAATAATCCGTCATTTTTAGGCCATGGGCCAATCCCGCTGATTGCTCCAAAGTCTTCTTGAATCATCTCAAGCATGGTCAGCCCAATACCCTGTCCAGACATCTTTAGAGGAAGGCTCCAAAGACAAGTAAAGTGGAATTAAAGAGCTGACTTCCTAGGCTACCCAGAATTAATTTACTAAGGGATTATTACATCAGCTACTATTTGTTTTATGTTTTGAATTAATAAAGCAGGTATCTACAGAATCTTGATAAAAATACTTTCATAGATTAATGTTGCCTCTTCAGTCAAATGGGCACTTACACATTTTTATAGGTTTTTAAAGTGTCAGTTTTGTTTTCAAGTCCTGCTGTCAAAATCTCCGAATTAATCATATTTTTAAATGTACCCTTTTATTTTTAATGAGATAATTTAGTTATTAAGAATTTTGACTAGTCAATATTTCATATTCAGAGATGCTTTTTGTGTATGAAGTAAATAATAAAATAGTAAGTGTTGGCTCTGCAGAAAAAAATGATCTGATGTAGAGAAGAATTGAATTATGTTAATTATGACTCATTCAGCTAGGTTTTTCCCTAGGCCATTGAGATTTGAATAAAAATTATGTTTTTTATAAATATAAAAATTAGCGAAACCTTAGCTTTGCTGATTAGGATGTCCTATTATATAAATGATGGGGTTTTTTTAGTTTTTAAAAAAGGCTGACAACTTAAAAATAATTTCTCAGTGGCTTCATAAAAATTCAGAAAAGTGGTTTCACAAATTTTTGTGGCACTCAGCATTTTGAAGGTAGTTCCTTTCTTCATTGTAAACAGAAGCTCTGGTGTATATTGCAAAAAAGAAAAATATCAATGGCAAATAAATTTAAACTTCAACATGTTATTCTTTTTTTTTAGTCTTCTTTGTGATATCAAGGAAAATTCCCCAAATGTTAACTTTTAGGAAAATATAACAGAGTAAAAAGTCCTAATGCACATAGCAGGTATGTTACTCAGACCTGCCTGGCCTTCGTGGTCATTTACAGTCTAGTCGCCACCACTTTATCCCACTGCTGCTCATTTCCACGTAAATTTCAGACAAACTGTGTTCTTTGCTCTTCCTGGAAAATGCCTGTGGGCCTCTGTGTACTATGTCCTTCAGTTCCCTATTTAAAAAAAAAAAAAATACCTGGTATTCAAGGCTCGGCTCAAATGTCTTCTCTTTCATAAGACTTTTAATTCCCCATTTTCCCTCTTCTCCTGTTTCGTACATTTCTTTAACATTTTATTGTGCTTTTTTTCTTTTTTTTTTAATCATTGTTCAACTACAGTTGTCCCCATTTTCCCCTCCACCACTCTCCCCTACCCCACCCCCATTGCCTTTGTCCATGGTCCTTTATACATGTTCCTTGGCTACCCTTCCTCTTCTTTTCCCCGTTATCCTCCTCACCCCTCCCCTCTGGCTACTGTGCCTTATAAAGCAAGGTAGTGATCATATCTGCTAACAAAAACCAAACTACTATAGACAACAGTAAAAAGGATAAATAAAGCTGAGGGCAGGGGAGGAATCAGGGAAATTTACGAGAACTCCAATGATATGTTATGAACTAAGACATTGGCATGAGTGAGAAGAAATGGAATTGAGAGAAATATCAGAACAATGACCAATGAAGGTAAATGTCTTCAGGGAGAGAGATTGTCAAGACTATTCGAGGTGTCTAGTTTGGCTGATAAAATGAATTAACCAGAAAAGGAAAACAGGACGAGGAGACAGTTTAGAAGGGGGAAATGAAAAGTTCATTTATATATTGTAGTTAAAGTGTTTGTGGGATAGCCAACATCCATGTAGAAAGGAATCTAGGAAGGAGTGAAAAATAAGGATCCAGATCTCAGTAAAGAGAAGGCAGGAGTAGCTGGCACATCTTGTGAGTTAGAGAGAAGATCAA